ATCATATAAAGTACTAATGTCACAAACCTAAATATCTCTAAAACCATCTAAACAAAACTTTAACTAGAATAGTTTTTCATGCTCCAATGAGGAAGTGATTAAAATTAAGTGACGATCCTTAGTAGGGTGTGGATATGTGAATCATTTAAAGAATATTACTAAACGGGTAACTAAAGTATATGAACGGCATTTGCGTTTCCAAAAGCGTTTAAACCAGCTGCAGCTAGTTTGTAGATACTGATTGGTGTAAGTTTTTGTAGATCGCCGTTAAGAATTTGCCATCATATTGTATGGTGATGTATGGTGTCCAGAATAGCTATGGAGATGTGCTGGGAGAGTTGTTCACATGTGACTTTAACATCCCGGTAGGGTCCATGTTATTCAGGTGAGCACTAATTTGGTCAGATGCGTCTGGAGGAATAAATGCAAGGATGTCATCAATGTAATATTTCCAACTACGTTGTTTAAAGTTGGGGGTCTGCGGTTTCAATGGCTTTTTGTTCAAGCCACTCACTGCATAAGTTGGCTACTATTGGTGATACTGGTGAGCCCATAGCAATTCCGAAACACTGTTGGTAGAGCTTTCCTCTGAAAGTGAAGTAGGTAGTGGTAATTACGAAGTGTAGCAAATCAATAATGTCATCACTATTAAGTTGTGTTCTTTCTGTATGTTTTTTGCCTGCATATAGGAACCCCTTGACTACTTCTAAAGACTTTTCAATTGGTGTACATTGGTAAATCAGGCAGATTAGTCAAAGCCAGCCAGAAAATAAGAAAGATGTTACAGTTAACACTAAAGGAGCCATCATCAGAGCAACTCGGGCTTCCCTATCCACCTCAGACATAAAACACAATTCAGCTGCTTCAACCATTATGATTAAACTCAACCCCGACTGGCAAGACTCAAAAGTCATGAAAACGGAATGCAACAGACAAAAAATACGAGAGACTATTTGGATTCGGAAACATTCAAACAACATGAACAGAGAATTCGGCGTATACAAACTTTCAAATATTTACAAACAATTTTGAGTCCTGAAACTACTTGTAGAAGGCGGCCCCACATCGGGAAACGTCAACAACAAGCAATAACAGTCTATTCTGTTGAATTAAAAGTTTATCCACTTTCGATGCCTTGGTAGAGTTCCTAAATGACTGCTACCAGGCCACCGACAGTCGTGAAGAGATTCGAATCCTCTTAGTTGAGCCCACGATTATTTGAACCACAACATTTTGATTGATAATCTATATAAGTTTAGATGTATCCCTTCATTTAATAGCCTGGGTTAAAACTTTTATTAGCCACAAACTCCAACTGGTTAAAATTGATCATAGTTTCTTTGCAGATTGACTGTCACCTAATTTAGAGTCAGCCCAAGGTACGTGGTAAGAGTTAGAACTATTTATAAATAGCAACGACCTTTGATTTCAATAATCCATCAGTTAAATTTATGGATGACACTACTGCAACTGAAATAATATGTACGATTGGCACTAATGCTCTCCAAGATGATGTTGACCTAGTTGCGAACAATATGACATTAAGTGTTAAGAAATCTAAGGAATTTACGATCAGTTGTAAAAAAAGTAAAAACCCGATTCGTTTCCCTCATTGTTGAAGATAATGTCTTCGAGAGTGTTAATACTACTAAATTGCTAGGGATAATCCTCAGTTCTAATTTGTCACGGCAACATAATGCCACTATCTGCAACAGATGTATTCCTATAATCTTCTTTCTTAAAGAACTTACGTGGGCTGGGTTATGTCATGAAGCCATGTTAAGGTATTGCAAGCAAGGGGGTTAGCCAATACTTTAATATGCAGCCCAGTATGGGGCATAATTGTTAACGAAGGGCAGAGTTACCAACTGGAACAATTCCAGAAGCGCTCTCTTAAAATTATTTATAACCATTTATCATGCAATGAAGCTCTAAATCTTGCTAATCTTACTGGACACTGGAAGAGAGAAGACTTGTAGGGGATATTTTACCAAAGTGAAACACCCAAAACCATCCCCTAAATCATCTACTGCCCCATACTGTTCACAAGCCTTACAACCTTCGTATAAAAAGACAATATGAATTACCATTGGTCCAAAACTAAACGATCCAAGAATTTTATTCTAAATCTGAATGGTAAAATACACCCTGAATGGATTATCTTAACAACAACTTTATGTTTTGTTATGTAATAACTGCTTTCCTTGGCTCACTATCATGACTTTCTTGATGTCTTCATTTGTAGTGTTCTGTTTTCCCTTCTTTATTTCCTCTTCCCTTTGTGTAATCCTCTTTGCTCTGTTAATTTTTGCGCAATTCTTTTTTTTTTTGTAA